CAACCGACCCAACCAGCCCTACGACCCTAGCCGACCCAACCAGCCCTACCACAGCGGCCAGCCCTACGACCCCAACCGACCCAACCAGCCCTACGGTAGCAACCCGCCCTACGACCCCAACCGACCCAACCAGCCCTACGACCCCAGCCGACCCAACCAGCCCTACCACGGATCGCCTTACTCCAGCAACCCCTCCGACCCGAACTACAGAGCACCCCAGTACTCCAGTAACCCGGCTGACCCCAACTACCGCCCATACTCCAGCAACCCCTCTGACCCCAACTACCGCGACCCCAACTACAGGTCCGGATACGACAGCACCTACAACGACCCCTACAACACCCACGGAGGCTCCCAGTACGGAGCCGGTGGCACCTACGGCGGCAACAACCCGCTCTACAGGAGCTCCCCTGGGAGCCGCATCCGCGTCATCAAGTCCTACACCTTCCCCGAGGAGGCCGCACAGCGCACCAGCGCCATGCTCAGCAACATCGTCCTCGACAGCAACGACGGATGGTGAGTATGAGAATCTGCCGTGGATATGCCGTATACCGGGCGGGCCAAGGGCGTGAGTGCTGGGATGAGAATCTCCCCGCCAGGCGAGGTGAGGGGGTCCTTGTCCGGTGTGGGAACGCGGAGGCGTCGGTGGGGGGGGGGGGGGGGCTGAGCTAGGCTGAGCTTGTCAGTGATTCAGAGATTGATCGCCGCCCCCCTCCCTCCCCCCGATAACAATATCGATTCCGACTGCCTGGATCGGTCGACCCCACCCACATCACTTAGAGATTAAGGTGATGAGCATGAAATTGACCTCGCCGCAAGGATGGGCGACGACGAACTCCATTTTTAAATGCGTGTGAATAAGCTCTATTACAGCACGGCTGAATTCTTTGTGGCGCCACCATGGAAACGGTTGGGGGGTTCAACCTGTTCTCTGCGCCGTGCACCCCTCCCTCGCCTGCTCATTTCAACCGTCTCTGGCGGAGGGGAGCGTGCCTCACCCGTATGCGCATTTAATTAAATAGCAAGCCGAGCCGACGCGGAGCTTGCTAACAGGTGGCTGGACGTGCCGGGGGTGGCGCGGGGCGGTGGGGGCGGCTGGGGTGAGTGGGGAGCCGCGGGGGAGGGGCGGCGCGGCGAGGAAGTCCCCGTGTGTCAGAGCAGGTCAGAGGCATGTAGTGTAGCGAGTCAGCAGCGGCCGGCGCAGCGCAGGGTGATCTGAAACCTTGATAGTTTAGTTTTGCATGCTATAGTTGGGTACTCTTTCAGAGCGGTGCTGTCTCTCCCCCATTTCCCTTCCTCCCAACCCTTCACCAACCGCTTGCTCGACTATGAACTCCCCTTTCTTCTTCCGGTAAATTAAAAGTCCCCCGTTGCCACGCCCCGCCCCCCACCCCGCCGAATGACGAACCTTTAAAAGGCTTGCCTGACGCATCACGCTCCATCCGACCCGAGTTTGTCATCTCATTTCCCCAACCAGCCAGGGTGGCGTCGTTCCGTGCTCGTGCTCACACAGCGTGCTCGGGGGCCTGCTCGGGACGTGTCTGCGCTGTTGTGCTACGGGAGCACGCAGCACTTCCATTCTCGGACGGGCGCGACAAGTTGCTCGTGAATCCAGCATGCCGCTGTGTGTGCTGTACACGGTGTAAAGAGGTGCTGTGTCGTCCTCCCTCAGCACGAGCTCGCCCCAAGCAGATGACTGACGCCTCCGCCGCCGCGCTTGCTGCCGATAGCGTCGTGCCGGCTGCTTCAGCAGCAGCGCGGGTAGCGGGTCGCGGTCTTCGCGCGCGCGCGGTGCGCGGGCCGGCGCGGAGGGCCGAGTCGCGGCGGCGTTGCCAGGTCGTAGAGAGGGGCCTAAGTGCTACCTGGTCCCGCGGGCCGGGCGGGCAACAACTGCATCGTCGTCGCTCGTGTGACGTGGACACTGGGTGAGGCTCCCGTCGTGCTCGTGCAACCGGAGCCGGACCCCTCATTGCACTTGACTGGAGCGGGCGGGGCGGGGCGGGGCGGGCCGGGGGCCCTTCCGTCTCCGCCCTGGCCAGACGGAAGGGGCGGGCAGGGCCAGTGGGGAAGGGGAGCGGTGGAGGCAGCGGCGGACAGGGCGGGCGGGCGTTCGATCTCCAGCTCTAGGACCTCCTCCCGGCGGCCGGGCGGCGCCCTGATGGCTCATCAGGTTTGGACCCAACCCGTCCAGGTACCCCGCGCCATGCCCGCGCGAAGCAGCGCCGACTTCCGGTGCGGCGGTGGCGCTGGGATGCATCGGGGCGGGGCGGCGGGTGTAACCCTCCTATGACGGGGCGTGGCGGCGCGCGGTCCGTTTCGCTGGCTCATCGCGGTGACAGTCGACAGCGTGATCGATACCGCGCCATTCACCGCGCCGCCAGTCAAATCCATTTCAGGAGATTGGCTCTGTGGGCTAGCGGAACGGGCGCGGACGGACCCCGCCGCCGGCCCGATCGACGTCAGCAGGCTGCTGCTCACCTCACCGAACAAGTGCTCTATCGGCTCCACACGGGAGAGCAAACGAGAATCTTATTATTTGACACACGAGTGAAGCCATTTTGCAGGAATGTTGGGTAACACATCACCGCAGTGGGAGTAGAGCGCGTGTCGCGTCCGTTTTGCTTTTTGCTCAAGTGACATCTTATCTTCCGTTTCCGTTTCCTTTTGAGTGGTACTATTTCCTGCCTGTGACTCGACCGCACCAGGCAGCTGCAGCAAGGTGATCGCAGTCGCAGCGCGACTCAGCGTCCCCCCGGGCATGTGGGAGAATATCTCTGGTCCCCGCGCCCGCACCCGACACGCACGTATAGTACACGACTCACGTTTACACAAACACATAACACACGCACGCACACATACACACATACAATAAGTACTCAGTCAGGTCCGCCATCACACCTTGCGCCGTATCGCTAACGATAAGTACCCTTGGTGGGCGAGAAGCATGTCGGGCTTTGTGCGGGCTGTGCCTGCCTGGGCTGTGCTGGAGGGGCGCGCGGAAGTGCCACGCTGCCCCCCCCCCTCCCCCTCCCCCGTAAAGTTTGATTTGGGTGGTGAGTTCCCAATGGTTCCCACCACCCGCGCTCCCCGGGGTCGGCGTGTTCATGTCCATGCAGTTGCATGCGTCGACGACCCCAAGGTCGGCTGCCGGCAGTATTGACGGAAAACGCTGGCCGTCGCGCCCTGGTCGCCGTCTCCATGACCTTTCGTCGTCGGTGAACAGGGGTGAGAAGCCAGTGGGAGGGCCGGTGGGGCAGGGCGCCGCCCGCTGCCGGACTGGAGAAGGTAGGTAGGGGGGGGGGGCGAGCGAGCGGGCCCTTTGTTTGGCTGGCGCGCGGCCAGGCGGGGCGGGTGGCCTACATCCAGGGGCCCCGCGCGGCCCAGCCTAGGAGGTCATTGGCCGCACCTACGCACCGCGCCGCGCCGCGCCACTCAGCAGCGCAGTGCGGGCAGGCTGACTGCACTGGAATGCAACGTGACGCGAGACCGCCGCCGCCCGGCCCGACCCACCGCGGCAAAACTGTGGGCGCCGCAGCAGCGGCGCGACCGGCGTCGGCGCAGAGTTCACTGACTGCTGGCTGCACCAGCGGCGTCGGCGTTTGATCAGCTGTCATTTGAGCGAATTAACGGCAGTGTAGGGCGCTGGCTGGCGCTGCGGAGTCAGTCAGTGTGTCGGCCGGCCTGGCCTGCTGGGCCGCGGCCGCAGCGGTGCGGTGGTGTCGGATAGCGGCCACTGGGGCGGGCGGCGATGGCGATGGGCTCCGGGCCCGGCCATACCATACCACCATACAGTCCGTGTCCAGTCCTGTCCGCCGGGCGGCGAGTCGGGCCGTCGGACGCCCTGCACCCCTCTCCCCTCCTCGAGCACCCCCGCGACCACCTGGGGGGCTGTATCGACCGAGGGGTCGCGCGCCGCGCTGGTCAGCCGCCGCGCCTGCCTGGCCACCACCACGTCGCGCGGGCGATCCTCGGCGATACGCACGCGGGCGCTTGGTCGGTACCTTATCGACCCAGCCGCGCGGAAGTTCCGTATTTAGACCGCCGCGCACCCCTGACCCTTGCCTGCTGCAGGTAAACGGCCCCGCCGTGCTGCTGTGGATACTGCACCGCATGTCCCGCATGGAAAGGCGAGGCTAAACCGCGTCTGAAAACTGTCCGAGCTTCCTAGACATTGCTTGCACGCCTGAGTAGACGCGATTCAGCCAATTTTCAGACGACTTTTCTGTCTGAAACTTACCCGACTTTTGAAGTAGCCGGCGCTGCAGACTGCAGCGCCCATGCGCTGTGGCCGAGCTTCGTGAGGACATATGGCTTGGCTGAGCACACAGCCACCTCCAGGCTGTGAGCGATCTGAGGGACAGCTTCCCAATGTCCGGAAGCCTCATGGGAAGGAAAATGAATCTGGCAGCGACCGCAACTGGCCGGCCGGTGAGCGGGATCGAACCAACAGACTCCGAGTCACGAGTCGTTCGGCTAGCACGCTTGGCCAGAGCGCGCTCGCTCCCGGGGAGAAGCGAACAGCGAACACGTTCCTCCTCAGCGCGTCGCGGGAGTATATC